ACTAAAAACACAAAGCAGAGAGAATGAACTGGAAGTGGAGGAGACAATGAACTCTCAAAGCTACTCCAAAATTGCACCACCTCCCCAAACAGCACCATCAACTGGGAACTACCAGTTCAAATATGTGGGCCCATGGGGACATTTCCATTCAAAACTACCACAATTCCTTAAGTGGCTTTTGTCAGGGAATTTTACCACAGCTCCAGAAAAGTAACCTAGAAACTCAGCCATCTCCCAGACACCCACATTAGTTTTTGTTGTTTTTTGAGACAGGGTCTCTCAACTGAGCCTAGAGCCCATGGATTCAGCTAGACTGCCTAGCCAGCAAGCCCTCAGGATCCCCTTTTCTCCAACTCTCTGTTGCTGGAATTGCAGGTATTTAGTGCCCACCCTGCTTTTTATATGTGGGAATGAGGCATCTAAACTCATGTCCTCAAACTTCTGCAGCTTGTAAGCACTTTATCAACTGAGCCATCTCCTCAGCCCCAGAAATTACTACTTTAAAATGAAGTCTAGGGCTGGAGAAAAAAGTGTGTGTGTGTGTGTGTGTGTGTGTGTGTGTGTGTGTGTGTGTGGGAGAGAGAGAGAGAGAGAGAGAGAGAGAGAGAGAGAGAGAGAGAGAGAAAATGAGAATTCAATTAATAAAAAAAGGGGAATAAAGCCAGGTAGTGGTGGCACACACTTTTAATCCCAGTACTTTCGGAGGCAGAGGCAGGCAGATCTCTAAGTTCGAGGCCAGCCTGGTCTACAGAATGAGTTCCAGGATAGCCAGGTCTACACAGAGAAACCCTGTCTTGAAAAGAGAGAGAGAGAGAGAGAGAGAGAGAGAGACAGAGACAGAGACAGAGACAGAGACACCTCTTCACTGACATTTTCAAAAGCAAATTCAAAGCAGAAGAGATTAAAATGATGCCTTTGAAATTTTGAAGTAAAACTACTTAACAGATTTCCCCCCCTCAACTATCACTAAATATGGGAACATAAAAACATCTTCACATGTATAAGAACAAAAAAAAAACTATGATACATCCTCTTTTTGCATTAAGGCAAAAAGCAAAACCAATGAGATTTCAGAGAACAAAGAATCCAAAACAAGAAGGAAGAGATTCAGTCAAAACAATCCTGAAAAAGAGAAAGAAGACTGTTTCACACTTTATCAAAAGGCTTCTGTAATCAAAACAATATGGCACAGTCATAATGAGAAACTGATGAAACTGAACAGAACTTAAGCCTTAAAGACATTAAGCTAAGTGAACTAAGCCAGTTGCAAAGAAACAAGCGCCAACAAGTTCACATTAAATGGATGATAGGTTGTCCCCCAGGGTTTGAGAACAGGGTATTGCTGTTTAATGAATTAACATGTAATATTTGTCATAAAATTTACATTGCAAGTATACATAACACTAAGTATACTATATACTGAAAAGTCGTTAAATTTCACACCATGTGGTTTTTACCAATATAGGTAGTGGAGTAGGGGAGGCACAGAAATAAACCTCTGCAGAAATGTCAAATGTTTCTTGACAAGGATGCCAAGCCATTCAATGGGAGAAAGGACAAGTTTTCAGAAAGTTGTGTTAAGAACAATACATATAAAAAGAATGTTGCCAGGCCCATGACTTGTAGACAAATTATAAAGTCTTCATGACATTGGATTTTGCAATAAATCCTTGGATATGATATCAAAATCAAGGAACCAAATGAAAAAAATTAGAATTCATCAAAATAAACTTTTGATGTGGGTAGGTAAAGAAAGAAGGAAGAATGGAAAAGGTGGGTTGATGGGCACTAAATTAAAGAACAGAGCATTATTCAAGTGGCTCACAACCATTTGTAGCTCACAACTACTTGTAGTTCCAGCTCCAGAGCCTCTGGGAGCACATAAACTCACACAGGCACACACCCATACAAAAATAAATCAATCTTTAAAGGACACTACTGAGAGAATAAAAAGGCAAGCCACAGAAAACGAGCCTTATTTGCAAAGCAAATATATAATAAGATTAATAACCAACAAAATTTAATGAGCAAAGAGATTGACTAGGTATTTATTTATCCAAAAGACAACATATATATGGTCAATAGAATAGGCACATGAAGTGCTGCTGGATGTCACTAATTGTTAGGGAAGTGCAAATGAAAACCACAGTGAGACACCACATCATTATTTATTAGAATGGCATTTATCAAAACACAAGACAAAACAGAAAACAAGTGCTACTGAGGACATGAAAGTAACATTTGTATGCTCATGGTGGAAATGAAAAAGGTGTGGTCACCATGGAAAACAGTAAAAGTGGTCTCTAAAATTTGAAGCACAGAATCATCACATGGTCCAGTAACTTCACTCCATATCCAACAGAACTGGAAGAAAGGTCTTAGATATTTCATAGCAGAATTCTAGTAGTGAAGAGGTGAGAGAAAGCAATTCAAATGTCTATCAATGAATGAACAAACAAAACATGGCATATAGCTGCAACTGAACGGTATTCAGCCTTAAAAAGGAAAGAAATCATGACAGGTGCAACAACATAGAGCAATCTTATGGACATTATGCTCACTCAAGTAAGCCAGGCACAAAATGATAAATCCATGACTCTGTTAATAGAGGTACCTAGAATAATCAAATTCACAGAAACAGAACAGTGGTTACTAGGGTGGTTACTAGGCGGGGTGGGTTATCAGTATTTGACAGGAACAGAGTTTTTGTTTGGGATAATGACAAAGTTCTGGAAATAGGTAGTGTACACCATGTGAACATACTTAGTGTCACTGAGCTGGACTTCTGGTTCAGATGGAACCTAGTATGTCTATTTTACAGTAATAAAAATGGTTAAAATGAGAATCTTAAGATCTGTATATTTTATCTCAAAGAAAAAAGTTCTTAAAGAAAGATACTATCTAGACTTGGTAAGTCAAGAACTAACAAGGCAAAGACATTTTTATAAGCAGAAGGTAAATAAAGATAGCAAATTTAGGCATAGGGATAAGGTGAGGTAGGCCTGGTTCAGGAGTCGACTATGTTTGCTGTTTCAAGTCTACAGTAATGTTGGCCTAAATTCATGTGATTTATGTATGTAATGTACTTCTTTGAAAAGAACATGGGAACTTATGCGTCTAGCTCCTAAGAGGGCAGAGAAAAAAAATTTATTCATAAAAGTTGGACAATCCAAGACTCAGATGACTGCTTTCTCCCCTTTGAGGATGTATCCTTGCCAGTACTGACAGAGAGAGCTCCAATTTTAAACATTCCCTTCCATGGAAACAGGAAGTTTTCTGCAATGAAGAAATAAGCCCTGATGATAAAAGAGCAATGAAGGTTGTTAAGATTTAGACTTTCTCCACAGATCAAAGAGTGACTAAGAAGCTAGGAGTAAACTTTAGCTAAGCATATATGTACGGATCCATGAATTTATCTGTGGAATTAATATTAATGTTAATTTCTTCCCCTAAAGAATTCATGATGGCCTTTTAGGGCAATGTACATATAAATCAAGTCAGCCTCAACAGGAAATCCTTATTAAATGTAAAATAATCCTGAATACTTGAAAAATCAACAATTATTATCAAAGCAATTATTCCTGTCACAAATTAAAGCGACAAATACAAACACTGAAGCCTCAATATTTTCATAGTTCTGATATTTCTTTTAAAATATATTTCTACAGGCTGAAGAAATGGCTCAGCAGTTAAGCACACTGGCTGCTCTTCCAGAGAACCTGACTTCAATTCTCAGCACCCACATGGCAGCTCACAACTGTCTCTAACTCCTGTTCCAGGGGATCTGACATACTCACATAGACATACATGCAGGCAAAACACCAATGCCCATAAAATATAAGTAATTCATTTAAATATATATATTGTTAGGGGCTGGAGAAATGGCTCAATGGTTAAAAGCACTGGCTGCTCTTCCAGAGAGGACTGGGGTTCAATTCTTTGTACCCACATGGCAGCTCACAACCATCTTTACTCTAGTTCCAAGGGTTCCAATGCTCTCTTCTGACCTCTGCAAGCACTGTACACACACGGTGCACAGATATTCAGGCAAAACATACATAGATTCATTCACACATATCTTTTCTTTGAATGTCCATTCTTTGATAAATTTGTCTTTGCTTCAGAAATGTAATTCAAAAATGCAAATCTTCATTTTTTCTAAGGGTACATAGTTGTAATATAAAACAGTACAAAAACCTGGTACTCAATTCTGCTACAATAAGCTCTTGGCTAATAACACATTTTTGAGGCTTGGCTTCTCATTTATAAAATGTAAATAGTAACAGTTCCAACTTCAAAAAGTTATCATCAGAGTTAACCTTGCATAGTTTCTGGTTTACTGAATATTCAAGTATGTTATGTGATGATAGATAGAGCAATGACACCTTTCAAGGCCTGGCCTTGACTATACCTTCTACACCTCATGTTGCCTACAGAGATACCAAGCTGTTTCATGCCTCAATCCCTTTTCTTGAGTTTCTCCTCATGTTAACCTGCCTAGAATCTGCCACAAAATTCCTCACTCTACTTACCTAGATCTGTCTGATAAATGTTTGTCACTTAAGAGCCATCTAGTGCACATAGTGTTATAGTTACTGGTACTCCTTATCTGGGTCTTGTGAGCACCCTCGTATTTCAGTACTACAGACAGTAGCAAGTGGTTAAATAACCTGGTCTACCATTGCAGAGTAACAAGAATATAAGAAACTAAGACACAGCCTTAGAGTTAAAATTAGTGCACAATAAAAATCAGATTCTGTTGTCTTGGGGCTGAGGTAAAATCTCAAGTCACCTTATTGTACATAGCCACCCTGCCCATGCAGAAAAATCTTACCAACATCTGCTCTTGTCATTTTATTTTTATTTAGTGTTAGCATCCTTCTTGGGATATGGATTATGTGCTGACTTCCTCAGAACTGCTTTGAAAACCACAGAGCACACTGATTTCTACCCTTTCAAAAGCAAGGGTGCCAGCTATTGTGCTAGCCCCTGTCACTCACCTCAGCCACCTGCTGGGTCCCCACTCTGTGCTGAACCAGCCCCTCCATATTTGTAGCCATGGTGAAGCAAGATCATTAGAGAACCTGTTTGGAAAGATGCAGCAACTTCTATCAGGTGTGGAAAACCAGGCTACTTGAAAATTATCACTCATCAAAATTCATCTTTGATACTGTCTTACAAGGACTATGCCTTCTATAGGAGACAAAGCCAGCAGGGTAAGCATATCTGGATATGCCATAAAATCAGTGTACCAAAATTTGCAGAAACATTTCAATTAGGAAATTTCTCTTGATAGATACAAATACAGAGGAATGAGGGGCTTTACCTATCAGGTCTTCTTGGTTTTGACTGCTGGGTTCACCTCTCAGAGAGGTGGGAACTACACATAACTTTTTGGATAGCTCTCGGTCACAGCACACTGAGTAAAAATGTGGCTATCTGAGAAGAGTATGAAGTTAACTTTAGATAGAGCACTGGTTTGCTTGACTGCTATCAACTAAACTTGTATGATTAGTGGCAATATGAGAAGCAAAACCATGCCCAACTATACACTTCACTTACAGGCTGAAAAGACAAACAGTAATCACCAACAAAGAGACAAAGTATATGCTAACAAGATGCCAGCAGACCAGTAATGGTATGGCTATGTGGCAACACATAGATTAATAGGAATGGGTTAATTTAAGATGAAAGCGCTAGCTAACAAGAAGCTGAAGCCATAGGCCATACAGTTTGTAATTAATATAAACCTCTGAGTGATTATTTTATAAACGGCTGCAGGACTGCAGAACCATGAGGCCAGGCAGGACCGGTTACAACCAGCCTGTTTACCTTTTTAATAAGTAAGTAAAACTTTTGTTCTAGGAGAAAAAAACCAAGATGCAACACAGAACACTTTGGTTTTTGTTCTGTTTTGGGCCTTGCTATGATTTGGTTCAAACTTAGAGAAACATCTACATGTGTGAAGTCTAGACTTGCACTATTCAACAAAGAAAATAACTCAGAGTAAATGATAGCCAGTAGGTTAACATATAGCAAGAACTAAAATCAAGACAGAGAACCACTCATTTTATAACTCTGAAACATTGTAAGTGTTCTTGCTGCTAACTATAGTTTGAGTAAAAAAAATAAGTGACTCTGAATACATGGAATAATGTTAGAGATTTATTACTGAATACTATAGAAACATCAAAATATTCTTTAAAAGGCACATCTTTCATGGAGTTTCCTATAAACAACTGTTTAAATTTCAAGCTTAGTAACCCAGAAAGCTTACTGTAATGGTCCACTTTATGACTTCTTTTTGCTTTTGTTTTATATTGCTGAGGACCAAATTCATAGCCTTAAACATGTTATCACCAAACTGTAATCCTAGCCTGAATCACTATAAATCTGCAGGGCCAATCAACTTAAGATAGTTATGAGTCTCAAAATAATTCTAATAACCAGTATCTATAAATACTAAGTCAGAAAAGAGTATACCTGTTAGGCTTTAAAAAGCTAAGCATTCTGGATACTATCTGATTGTGTAAGTGTATACATTTGTAAATGTCTTTTCCCATTTTCTGTTTACTTTCTTTAACATGTCTTGAACAGAAGTAGGATACTAATGCTGAATGGGTCAATATTTGAGCAGTTTGTATTAATTTCTTCACTTATTAGCATATGATGGGGGAGCATGTATATGTGGTGGTACACACGTGGAGGAGGTTAGAGGACAATTTGCAGTTGATTTTTTTTCTGCCTTTACAAGGGTTCTAAAGATTGAACTCAGATCACCGAGCTTGCAAACACCTACCTCACACCATCCTGCCAGCCCTGGCAGCCTGAATTTTTATGTTTTAAGGACATTCTATCCTATCCTAGGGTTATAAATACCATAGTACGTATTTTTATTGTAAACACTAAAGAGTGTTATCACTCACATTTTTAAGTTCTTGATCCATCTTCCCATTGGTTTTTTGAGTCTGATGAGTGAGGCACAGACATCAATTTGCCAGCACCATGCACTGAACCACATATTCTTTTTATCACTAATCTGTAACTCAGGTTTCCTACTGAGTGTGAATATAATGCCAGGTTCTCTATCCCACTACTGGCTATTTATCTTTCTGTTTGCTACCACCATTATTTCACTGTCACACCTTTATAGGTCTTGAATTTTGGACCATCTCTTGAAGTCCTATGATTCTTGATCTCAATGTTGGTTTTCTACCTTCCAAGCAGCTTCAGCCATCAACTGCTAAATAAAAATGAAAGAGGAGGAATGTATACCTCCTGAAAAGACAAGCAGAGACAGTGAGAGTAAAAACAAGCAGAGAAACTGCAGACAACTGTGACTCCAACAGAAAGACTTATATCCAACTAGAACAAACAAGAGAGGGAGTTTCAAAACTGGTTCTTCATTTAACCATGTTAGAAAATATGTTGTCATAAACCAAATCCTATTCTTATGTATAAAAGAAAAGGAAGCTTCTCCTTGGGGATATCACAATGCAAAAAGCAAGCAAAATAAAATCTCAAGTGATGTCAGGAAGCAGGGCTGTGTGGGTACCTTTAACTCAGTGCTCCTGAAATAAAGATAATGTGAACACTATTCTCTCACCACTATACAATCACAGACACAAAAGTCATATGGGGAGGAGGTGGTCAGAGCCCTTGGAGCAAAGTATGGAGCATCAGTTTTCAACTAGAGGGCATCTCCCTTCCAAAAATGACAAGCTCCAAAGACAGTAGTAGTTTGAAAACTACTGGCAAACAGAACCACAGACTAGATCAGATTAGGATTTGGAATTAAGACATGAAAAATCAAAGTTTAGTATAATACAAATGTTCTTCAATAGCAAACACACTCCTTAAATGCTTCTAAGGCCAAGCTTAGATCCCACACCCAATCATCAAAATCCTGATGCTTTTTAAGACTCAAGATCACGTACGTCTTTGGGTCATGTGATTTCCTGCCTACCATGGCCATACAAAGGAAACTAGTTTCTTCCATTAAGTAAAAAGAGAAATGATATTCATGTTGGGGGATTGGGGGTAAGGGGAGAAAACAGGAGCTTTCACAGCCATGTTGTTCCTGTGCTACTGGGGCACTGCTACAGGTTTCTGTGTAAATACTGCTCCAAAAATTTGCACACTGTGTGTGGCCTCCTCATCCTACCAAAGACCCAAGTGTAATAATGGCGATGCCAATTCTGTTTCTGTTAGTGTGGGTCAGGGATAGGCAACTGGAATAGCAGGACAGACTTCTGGGCACCTATAACCTATTTTGTGTCAAACTAGGCCTGTTTTGATCCTCAGCACACCTGAGCATGATATACAAGCTCCAAAAAGGAAGCCAGGAGAACAAACTCACAAGTAAACTTGTTTAAAGTGACCCAGCTGCTAATGAAGTGCTAGGATTCCAACTCATACCTCTTTGACTTTAAAATTCACACTATTACCTCTAGATCAATCTCAGTACTCTTCAAAATAACTTCCCAAGAAAAACGCAAAGTCAAGGAAGAAAAACAGAAATAGTTACCTATCTCTTTCATTCATAGGCTAGAACATTTAATAACTAATATAAAAAAAACTACTAATTCCTAAATGCGAAACACTTCAGTACTGCCATCAGGAATTTATGATCCAGCTCTACCATGATGATTTCTTAGGAATTCAAACATACTTTTAATATTTTAGCTATACAGTAACTATACTGACCAGAATTGTGAGGACAGAAAGTAAAACAGTGAGAATAACACTTTTAAATAAAAACTTTACTGAACTACAACAAGCAAATACAAAAGTGCTCAAACTGTAAACACTGTGATGACAGTCTACTAACAGAACACATAGTCACACCAGAAAAAAAAAGTACCAGCAGCCTGAAGTCTCTGATGAACCTCCCGTTGTCATTAACTTTTCCTTTCTTCTCCTGATATTATCAGGGAAGATTGTGGCTTGTTTTTGAACTACATGTGATATACTTTGTCTGACTTCTCTTGTTCATTGTTGTTTTGCGAAAACTATAAGCACTCCATTTCCATTACTGTCTAGCCCTCTAACATAAGACTATGCCACAAGCCACTCATTTACAGCTTTTGAGTTTTCAGCTTGTTTCCAGGCTGGAGCTCTCATGACCAGTGCTTCTGTGAACAGTTTTACTCATGCCTTTGGTAACTGAGATCTTGCCCTGGCTTGTCTTTAACTCAGTTATCCTCCTGTCTGTGCTGGGACCAATGGTGTAAGCCACTAAGCCCACCAGGTCTTACTTTTCATTTGTAGTGCTAAGTACAAGTTCTACCACTGACACCCACTCCCAACCCCTTTTATTTATTTTCATTTATTTTTAGCTCTTGCTTTTCTTTCTTTCTTTTTTTTTTTTTTTTTTTTTTTTTTTTTTTTTTTTTTT